CTACGTTAAAACCTACTGGTATACAGATAAACCGTGTATGCTGAATGCGAGAAATTGAGGTTATAGTCGAGAACTGTTATTAATGTCTTATTTCAATGTAAATTGTTCAGGCTCATCCCTGCCTGCCTGGATGAGTTTCTATTGGACATGTCAGTCACAGTCAGTCACAGTGCAAAGCAGTTGAAGTTTTACATTGTTGAATCAGAGAGCTCTTCAGACATTTGAGAGCAAAAAGTCGCATATAAAGTTGATGTCATTCCCTAGTTTTTTTTGTCAGACCGTGGAATAAGTGTGATATAGTGACTGAAAAGTGACCGATTAAGGCTAGTCCAGGTTCAGTGTGTAGGTTTTAGGTGAAAGCGGGATCTATTGGCAGAAATTTAATATAAAATAATCCTAGTGGTGTTTTCACTAGTGTGTAATTGTCTAGATTGTACAAATTGTTTTTATTTTTATCCTAAAATGGGCCCTTTATATTTAAATACTTTATATTTACATCAGGAGAGGGTCCTCTTTACGGAGGCCGCCATGCTTTTTACAGTCATCCAAACTGGACAAACACCTTTTGAGTTTTCATAACAGCTGAAGACTTCCAGAGGTTCTCCTTAATGTTTGGTAAGGGATAGAGAGGTGAGTGGTGTTCAGCTGCAGCATGCAACTTATCCACTAGATGTCACTATATTCAACACACTGAACCTTTAAGACAATTGTTCAATAACCCTGACCTCGTCTGACAAAACCGCCATACAAAGAAGTTAAAGTCACCAGCTACCCTGTAATTTGAGTTACACGCTCAGTCAAGTCTCTGTCATCTGCCATGTGATCAATTCCTTTTGAAAGAGCAGCCGCCATTGGGAAATACCATACACTGCACTAGCCAAATAATAGTGTACTGTCAGTCAGGGACATTCATATTTATAGAGCAGGCACTGCTGTCACTGTCTGACCAAAAATCAGTGGAAACCAATAGATATCTATAAAGATTAGAACAATACATCCAAAAATCAAAAACTTCATTGCATGCATTTGCGATTAAAAATGGAAATTCTACATGATTTATATATTTAACTTGACCCTGTGTTAAGGTAAGTGACCTGATAGCAGGGAGATTGAAAGGTCAGCTATCATATGGCCCCTCTGTCTGAGGCCATAGCTCAAGTCCAGTGTCAATCACTTCCCTGGCTTGTACTTTGGCCAATCTGCATAATGATAAGAGGGCGCCGGCCAGCATATCTGTCCCTGAGTGATAAGGGTTCAAACAAGTGTTTACTCTTCGGGCACGGTCCAGGCTGAGCTCCCAAGAGTCAACCATTCAAACAAATGGACAGGCAGAAGCAGGCGGGGGCAGCCACCATCAGCCCATGTTCCTACTCTAAGACCACTGGTCTGCCCTTCTGGGCCCCTTCTTCTTACAGGCCTGTCTGTCAGGCCACAGGATGCGAGGGTTAAACATTAACATGAGGTCCACTCTATTTCACACACTCATAAATACACACACATGCATACAGAGTGAATGACCACACAAACTCTTGGAAAGAGCTGGATGTCATGTTGCATGGAGGACTGAATTTATTATTGTTATTATTCATTATTATTGTGTTTTTCCTATTTTCTCAACTATAATTACCAACTGTCTTCCAACGATTTGTAGCAATACTGTTTTTTTATTACCACATCACACAAATAGTACATGAGCAAACTTCTCTTCCCTGCCAAGGTATGTTCTCTCCTGCACTTGGATACAAAGCATTTTTTTTTCATCACGTTGTTTTTCCATCCTTTTGGTCTGCGTCCAGTTTTCTCTCTGTTTCCTTGTCATCACACTCTTTGTTATTGGTATTTGTCAAGCATGAATCTTTATTGGAACCCCAGAGACAAAAGTTAGTCATTGAGACTGATGATTATATTCCTCCAGCGTCAGCTACCGTGTGGATGTGCAGTATATATGCCACATGATCAGATAACATGGCCCTTTTGAAGTACTTGTATGATCACTAGTGAGACTGTCACCTCAGCAGTGCTGCTAATTTACAGATCTCTGTCTTGAGAAACTATGCAAACTTACTCTTCTACATTCTTTTCTGTTGGAAGGCTGTTTACGTGTCCTGCTCAGATCCTGTTTATCTGCCTCAGCCAGGGCTTAGTAGCTGCTTCACAGCCTGCGTCTAATATAGGTCTTGACTGGAGGAGTGTAATGGAGGGGGGGGGGGCACTCTATGCAGAAATCCATCGGACTGTATGGATTATTTATGCTCCACTCGTACATCCTGCGTTAGTGTTACAGACGTGCACACAGTTTAACCTATTTTTGCAGCAACTCATATTGGGATTCATTGATTTTAAAGAGAGATTGAATTCAAGAGGTAGAAGTGTCTTCATGTACCCACCCTCCATAAGCCATAGCATCATCATGGCGACCTGGAGATCTTTTGTCAATGTGACCCTCATCTTTGCCTTTTATACTCCAAAACTAACATGCACACAACCACCACGTACAACTGCTCATCCATTCACTGTGCGCAGAGCCCTCTGCAGGCTTGGTTGAGTGAGAACATGAGACGTCTTGACCTGTGGGACAAAGGTTTGTTGTTGCCATAAGAATGGCTGTTTTCTCTCTCCCTCCGCCTCACTTGCTCATTTTGTCTCGCACATCACTGTTAATGGCTGTGTAATGTAGCATAACAGATATTCTTCTTCACCCTCTCCCAGTCTTCCTCTATCTTAATCCACTAGACCTCTGCAATCTGTAACTAAGTGGCTCTGTGTCTTTACATTGTCATTGCGTATGTTGGTGGAAACAAAAGGTTACCTTGGTCCACCACTTCTGCTGGTAGGGGGTTATGAGTTTAGAATAGAACTTGTGTCATGTATGTTATTTAAATAGAAAGTTACGCATGACACGTGTTGACACAAAGCCTCGCTCTGCACTTTCCACTGCAGACTGATCCATATCTGGACTTATTGATTCCACCAAATGACGTTCCTAAATAGTTTACAAGCACAAGCTCATCTCATCTAACCACTAGATGATACCTCAGCTGTGGAAATGCAGTTACCTGAATTGACAGCACAGACGTTAGTTAAGCTGTCACCAAGAAGCCTTTATTTTAGACTTGAAGCAGTTTTATAATGACAGTGAAGTGAGTGTATGGAACAGGATGTCCTCTAAAAGAAGACCTGAAGGTCAGGACCTACAGGCTGAATGCTAAAGAGGTTAGCTTTATCCTAGCAGAGCTAACACTCGTCTCTTTTACAATTACAAGTGTATTGTAGAATAAGTCACTCACTAAAGCTGCTTGCTCACGGGCCAGTTGTTTATTGCATACTGATTTTGTCTGTGCAGAGGCTGCATTTGAGAACGGAAATGTCTCGCTCATTTGTTGACCCAACAACCCTGCATTTCTTGCATTTGGCAATGAGTGAGAATCACATTTATCTATTTTTATTTGCCTCCTTTATTTGCCGCACTTAATTCAAAGCTATATCTTTACCTTCTGTTGCCACTTCAAACCATGCATTTATTTCATTGGACCTTTTGAATAGACTCACACTGAACACTGGGGGCAGAAATGTTTTGAGCATGCAGTCAGCCTCTTTTATGAAAGGGTGTATAGTGCCAATGGGGCAAGTTAAGGTTAAACTAAAGGCATGTGAAGGCATGGAATGGCTGAACAACAAACAGCTGCTATCTCACAGCCGTACTGCTGCCGTCACCCCCCACCTCTTTCATGTTCTTATTAGTGGGGGGCTCTGATGGAGAGGGCTTACCGAAGATTGACCCAGTTTACACGGGACGTATGAAGTTTAAATATGCAATGTAAGGTCCATTCTGATTGTCAGTCTTAACTTAAGCCAATGAGGCAAGCCCACTTCTTAGTGCACTATGTATCCACCCTGCAATTAAGCAAAATCTCCCCCATCTACTGTATGATCCAGTCTGTCATGTCCCCTCTGGTACACCCCCAACCCCCAGCCTTCCTATCACAACACAGCCTAAGCCAGCCCATTGACCTACATTAATTCCTCCACACGTCTCCTTGCCTGCCTCTGTTTCTCTGTGTCTTGTGTCCTTCTGTTCCTGCACCACTTTGATGGCTGTGAGGATATGGTTTCTGTGTTTGGAGCGGAGAGCTCAGAGGAGTGGAGTGTGTTGTGTCATAAGATACTCTGTGTCCTTCATTCCCCCATTGCCTCCTGACCAACTATAGCAACCCACATCACCTGTTTATGTGCATGGTCACATGTTACATCACCACCACTAATAGGACCTGTATTCACCAGTGTTGTGTTTAGTTATGTGCGCTGAAAGATAAAGCAATGTTACATTGTAGTGTTGATGTTATAAATGATGTAATCGGTTTTGCGGCATGCAAGTGATATGGCTTTATGGATGGCAGCATCGGTGCTGCCACCTTGAACAAAACTGAAATCCATGATGCCCTGCTGATACATCTCTATAACTGTGCACATCCTTTTGCTTTTCCCTCATTACCACCATATGGTTGATATTTGTGCTATTTAGTGCAATGTCTCAACAACTATGAGATGAATTACAATTGTTACCTAAAGAATTACTTCTACAATTACACTTTAGCGCTATCGTCAGGTCACAGTTTTGATTTCTCCCTTTCTTAAACTTTACCATAATATTTGGTTAATGACAAAATACATATAAGACTAGTAACATGTACATGTCTATTGCCATGTAGCATATATCAGCATGCTAACACACTAAACTAGGCTATTGACAGATAGACATATTCACCTGCCAAACATCATGTTAGCCAGCTGATACTTGCATTTAACACGATGCAGTACCGTATCTAAGTACATCCTCACAGAGCTAGAGGATGTAGGTTCTTCGTATCCACAAATTAAGACAGGGGTGACCTTTAAAATGAATTATTGTCTTGTCTCTCTATGTCTGCCTGCCTGATTTTCCATTGCACCTCTTTAACCTCTGTCTTTTTGTCCCCCCTCCTCCTCTCCTCTGTCTCCAGTCTGATGATTGAAAGTGGCTGCCGCCTCGTCCGCCACCACAATGGTCGACATGGAGAGCCACTATCACCCCCCTTCTCCCCTGGAGGACTCGGTGCTGGGCAGCCCCCTTTGCACCGATGACGACTTCATGGACGGCATGGAGGAGCTCCAGGACATCTCCCAGTCCATTGACAATGATGCCCTCAGCTCTTTTGATGTCCCGGAATACCAGTCTTCCAGCAATGGCTCGGAAGGGTCCACTGTCCTAGGTGAATTGGGTCTTAATGTCATTGAATTTAAATATCTCTTAAGGTCATTAATAATGTGTTGAAACAGTATGGGGTTGCTTCCAGTTGGCTCAGTGTAATTGCTTTGCTCTTGGACTTGGGGTCCCCAAGTTTAGCCCCCTTTTCCCTAATTTGCTACACTTTTCTAACCATTTACGACAAGGCTAGAAATCTTTGCATTTCTGCTGCCCAGTACTTCTAATTGCCTTTCCTTATCTACCTCGTATTTTCTATACACCCTTGTTTTACCTCTCTGTCCTCCTCAAGCCTTCGTCTTCTCGCTCCATATCCACAGAGGAATTCAGACATTCCTCAGCCACCATGCTCCACCTCTCAGGAAACATCCACTTTGCTGCTGTGTTCCCTCCTGAATAGAGGTGTCATGGACATGTGGGAAATTTACGCTACTACCAAATTATGCAACTAGTGAACTAGCAGTGAATAGTGTAGAAAGATACACATTTAAAGGGAGAATAGAGGGTGTGAGTGAGGGAGATCAAGAACAAAAGAGACGGGAGCATTAGGAGAAGGCATCACGGAAACATTTGATGATGTCATGGAAAAGTCACTGGGATGGTGTTTAGGACTTGTTTGCCAGTGTTAACAGTGAGAGACAGGAGCAGGAGAAGCCCTGACCTGCCTGTCCACACTCCAAAACATTCCACATGTCCACAGTCGAAACATTTGCACTTGCACTGGGCAGCAACAGAGCTCCACGTCCTCTGCCAAAATCTGCTCTTCTCCATTCTGGCCTCTCTTGACTAACTGATGTGGCTTCATGTAATGCCACTGTTTTGCAGGTGGAAGTGGTGGAAATGGAAAACTGATGGGAAGCCTTGTGACCTGTCTTCCATGAGGAAGATCAGTAATAATACTCCAGCACTGTTTTTCTTGTGGCACCACAGACAGCATGCTAATAACTCTGAATAAATAGTCTCGGGAATGGAACAGGCTGTATTTCACAGTAGAGATACATTAATAATTACAGCCAAAACAGGCCTCTCATCCACAAACAGCGTTTAAGTCACTAAATTGGCAATAATAACTTCCAAAGTGTAAATTTCGAAAAAACTTCAAAACCGTGTGTAGCCCTCATGTAAAACGGAGCGTTTGGAAACAACGTTAGAACTTACTTTGTGCATGCCCACTGTTGCCTCTTGTCATGAGCGTGCACTAGAAACAACAACAACAACAATAGCGGCTATATACCATTGAGCATGTTTTTTTCTGGACTTTGATGGATTGTTAATTTGGACTTTATCCCCACCTACTGGCCCAGCATGTTTGCGTTTTTAGTCATATTTGTTTCTGGAGGTGGATATTTTGTGAAGCTCATGTGGAAGGAAATTTTTTTAAACGGAGGGGATAATATCAGTCCAAAAAATATCCACGGTAATGCTGACTAGGACAGTCTCGCCGCAAAGGCTTCATTGTGTTGCACTCAAAGACGATGCAATTACATGGTATCGAGAATGACAAAAGTACGGACCCCTGAAGACCCAAATGATGAAACAGATTTGCACACAAGATAATTATATAGTGGGAACAAGGTAAATAAGTTGTGCACACAGAGTTAATATCTGCTTAGTAAAGACATAACTGGCAGATGCTTTGAAGACAACACTAATACATACAGTGTTGTCTCACTTCTGCACATCTGGTCAGTCACTGCATGAAGTGATCACTAATGTCAGATTGTCAGTTTAAAAAAATCTGGAAGGGGTTTCAGGTGCTGTTTGAAGGAAACTGATTCATTTGGTCTACATGAAGAGTAGCCTGTAGAGATGTGTGCATCTGTATTTATGCATGTTTAAACCAGCCGTGTGTGTTTCGCAGATGCCCTGACGCCGGCATCCAGCCCCTCGTCGGTTGTTTATGGGGTGTCAATGGGCCAAGAGGAGTTCTCGTCTACCTCCTCATCGCTCAGTCTGGAGTGCCGAGTGTGTGCTGACCGCGCCTCGGGCTACCACTACGGAGTCCATGCCTGCGAGGGCTGCAAGGTGAGATAAAGATAAGCTGCGCACACAAACGATAGTCAAACAATTGGCCTTAAGAGTTCATGTTAGACGGTGGAGAGAACCAGACCCATATAATGATTGGGGACTGAGCAATTGAACATATAGTTATTTGAGGATTATTGTGATGATTTAACTTGTTTCCTGGTTGTCACCCATGCATTTCCTTAACTTTTCTTGGTTCTCTGATTTATTTCTTGACCTTGAATGTGTTATATTACTGCTTACGTTCCCTCTGTCAATAATTCTATCAATATCCATCAATTACTTCCTTCCTAATCCACCCACACTCAAGCACGGACAAGTCTGGAAACACAAACAGCCATTAAATCTATTTAAAAACATCAAATAACATTTGGACTTGAAGACTCTGAAGAGAGTAGGACGTGGAAGGCCAGAAATCCAGAGGCCATGTGTCTTGTGACTTATGATAACTCCTAAAAGAGTCTGAAAATACCAAGCTTGGCTTTCACACGTGGCTGCCCAATGATCTTGCAGTTAATTGTTTACCAGTCATTACCAAGGCTGTAAGTGCAGGACAAAGATTGTGTTACTTTTCAGCTTATTGTTAGTGTCTTTGTGTTTTGCAACCTTTAATATATTTTTGTTTTTGAAGTAAAAGTAGCTACTGAATCAAAATTCCTGTTTGCACCTATACACACTGTAAATGCACTGAGGTAAGATCCATGTATGAGCCACACAGTCTGAATGTCAGTGCTACATAAACTCCATCAAGTCAAAATGCTGTTACATAAACTGTTACATCAGAGCCGCATCTCACTAAAGTATAAACAGTACAACAATGATTATGTCTTAGTGTTTGTGTAGTTGTAGATATATTGTGCTTCAGTGTATCAATACTACACAAAGGTCCACAGTGCAGAGTCAATGTTGTATGATCTATGCAGGGTGAAGTCACAGGGCTGTTAAACAACAGGTTATCAGAAAGTCAAGGTATTTGTGTCGTTTAACATCTACCTTTAGGAGGGAGTCATTAAAGGTGTATCTATCAGTTGTGACCAATGACATGTCAGAGGGTAAAGGTGAAGACCGTACTTGCAACATTAGGTGGATAAAGTGAAGTCAGCATTTCATGATCGTAACTTTGGCATGTCCATGGGAAGACTTTGTCTCTTTCAAGGATTTTTTCCATATTAAGAGAAATAAGACATTCATCCTTCTTTAACAAAATGTTGAATTTATCCTAATCATAACCCATCTTGACATTTGCAGCCCTTGTTGTCGATCTGCCTACTTTACTTTATTCACACTGCAGAGTTAGAATGCCGGAAAAATAGTCTTAGTTATCTGTGTGTTATGAGGTAAACACTTAATAAACCAGTTAATCTATTTCAAAAGATTGAAAACAAGAGCCACTTAAAGGGAAAAAATTTAGATTTCGAGAATAAAGTCGCAATGTTAGGCTCTGTGTCATTCGAGATGCGGAACATAAGAGGATCAGCCTGCGTTAAAATAAGGAATACCAAGCATCTTTTTTCCGGACTTGTGTAATTCCAAAGTCTATTCCAAAGAAAGAACCGCACAGACTTGGCAGAAAGTGGCTCTTTTGTGTAGGAGGAAATGTTTGGTAGTGGCTGATTGCATCTGTGTGGTATTCAAAGTGGTTTCGTAGATTATCAAGAAACAATGAAAATGATAATCTAGATTTTGGATCCAGAAGGAGTACTCCAACGCGCACAGGTTCTCTTTAATGTTTGATCTGATTTTCTTTACATTATTCTCGTAACATTATGACCTTTTTTTAAATAAAATTTAACTCGTGATAACTTTTTACTTGAAATCTCAGAAAACAGATTTTCTTCATTATGGCCTTAATACACCACTGTATCATCATCAAAACTGTTGCGATTGTCCAAGTACACGTAGTCTTGTATAGAATTACTTTTGAATATATGCATATACAGTATAAACTCTGCTTGTGACTTGGTCATGGAACAATAAGAGGAGGAGGCTGACCTCTGTGATGTCAATATACAGATTCTTTAGGACCGTGGACACGTATGAAGTCCATCCGTCCTGGGTTCCAATTCTGTCCTGGCTTCTTGTCACCCCTCAGGTTTGGGGTTAGTGGGTGAGAGTGTCAGCTACACTTACTGAACATGTGCTCACATGGTTGTAGCATGTCTGTGTAATCCTGTGTAATCTTGCTTGTGTGTCTTTCAGACTGTGTATATGTATTTTGGCACAGTGGGTGATAAATGCCATGAAGCAATTCCCCCAGGCCAACCACAAGCATGCCGCTCAGGCCATGTCTTCTTCAGCAAAGATAAATGTTTCTTTTTGTCGAGGTTGTATAAGCGAGGAGAGGCTGGCACTGAAACTATGTAGCATATATTGTCACGCGTCATTCTAGCGTTGTTGCAATTAGTTGCTGTAGTCGATGACACTGATGATTAAGCTAACGCGCGTGTCGAAAACTTTATATTTGTGGAGATAAGACATGTATCATCCACTCTTCTGTTGTCAGGGCAGGTCTGCATAGTCAGGGCATGCTTCACACACGCATGCTATCTGCACACACACACACACACACACACACACACACACACACACACACACACACACACACAAACGCACACACACAGAGCAGCATGGAGAGTATGAGGTATGAAAAATACCTGTTTAACAAGAGAAACGTTCACAAGCTGTGGTCCATCTGATTATATGAGTTTGCCTCAAATCTTCAAATTTGGCTAATTCTTGTTAATGCAGCTATTTACTGAGACGTCAAAATATCGATAATTACATTTTTGCACAATGTGAACAGTATTCACAGTTATACATGTTTTCTTTTCTCGCTTCACTCCTGCAGGGTTTTTTCCGGCGGACCATCCGTCTGAAGCTGGAGTATGACAAGTGTGAGCGCCGCTGCAAGATCCAAAAGAAGAACCGCAACAAGTGCCAATACTGCCGCTTCCAGAAGTGCCTGTCAGTGGGCATGTCCCACAACGGTGAGTTTTTCAGGCTATAGGGCAGCTTTGGGCAGTGTTCGAAGATCAGCAGCACACACACAAACATGGTTCACATTTGTGCAGATGCCAAGAGAACTTGAACAGGCATGTAGGCACATAATTAGCACAAATAAGCAATCTAACACCACATTTGGTGTGAAGTTACATGTTAAGGCAAGTTAGTAAATGAAGACTAATCCAGGCTGCAATACAACTCCATGCCTTCTGCTATATTTATCTTTTTCCACATTTAAACTAGTTGTATTTTCCTTATTCAGAACTCATGCGGTTACAGTGCACAATCTGTATGTGTCTGTACCTCACAGTGCTGGAGTCGTATTGCATTTTGATAGCTGAGCTCACTCAACCCATTTGGTGCAGATATGTCCTTGTCGGCTAATCTTGCCATCTTGGTGACACCTCCAGGGAGTTATTTCAGGAAAAGATCAGGCTACTTTCATGGGGAAAGAGCCACAACTGCAAAAACAGCACCAGTTCATATATAGAATCACAGGTCCAATATGATTACTTAAAATGTTTGATGAGTTTGCCCAAAAATAAGGTTGAATAATTTTTTTTATCCACACTAGGTTATACTTTTATCTCGCATGCATCCTCTTTAAAGGCTCAATCCAGAGTGGCATTATATCAACCAGCACACATGCTGTCGTGAACCTCAGCTGTGGAGACAATTAGCTGTTTCAGGGGAGGCACTGGACATTGTCATTCAACTTTGATATTTTCAATTTTTTTATTTTTTTAATCTTAATTATAGACTATTCATATTCATTCCTATCTCATAATGTCTCTGCACATAATAAACCTGCTTTCCCATACAAATGAATCTGAAAAACAAGAAAGACCATTTATAAGTCGAAAATAATCAACCAATGATTAATACTAATCAATCATCACAGCCATGGAATACTTGAATCAGTTGTTTAATCTTTTATTAATTTTGGCACTAAAAGAAACCCTGAACTGTGATTTGCAGCCTTTCATTTACAGTTGTAGTTTTTTGGAAAAATGTTGGGGAAAAAAGTCACGACAAGAATCAGGTATTAAATTGCTCTTTTAATGAAAGATTCATTCATGTAACAGTCCGACCATTTTCTCTTACATTACAGTCGTATTTTGACACGATTAAGGCTCAAATCATTTCCTCAGGAGTGGCCTTAATACTCTGAAATTAGGTGAAAAAATGTTTTGAGGTTATTTGTTCAATCAGGAATGTCCTTACAGTCCAGAATCCTTTGGTTACACAAGCCGAGAAAGCGACTCTGTTGGTTTCCTCCATTTTGTGCTTATGTCACAGAAGTCACCTGCAATCTGTGAGCGCCCAAAACAAAACATTAGTCTTTTTTTAAAACCTTCCCATCAGATTTCATCATCTGTGCTCCCTGTCTTTGTTTGAAATGCAGGAATATTGAGGTCAAAGTATGAGATTCTGGTGCATGTTGTTGACTCTGTGTAAACATACAACATGGCACGCTGACCCTTGGACAGGGTCAGTGTCCCGATTGAGCTGCAGGTGCTTGTGTTCGCTGTCCTGCTGCTGTATTTCTGCTCGAAAAAGGTCAATGTAATCGGTGGGTTTACATATAGACTGTGCACACACAGCAGATATTCCATACTGGTGGTGAGTGAACTTGTGCATGTAGGAAATGGATTCAGCGTCTTTATGTTGTCTCATGGGGTTCTTGATTTAAGAGCTCCTCCACTACTAGATTTTGATAATGATAGGGCCTAAAGCTCAGCAGGAGCAGCTTTTTTGTTTGCTGCACTTCATCTTACCGCACATGTGTATTGAGTTTCATGTGTCTAAATGTAACCGTAGAGGGAGAGGAAGGAGATTTGAGATGCAAGCGCAACCTGATCTTTTGAGGCCTGGTCGATTCAGAATGCTGCAGGACCACGGCACCGCTAATTTTGGAGGTTTGCCGTTCAGTTTGTATCGACTGCCAGTTAATTTCATCTGTAAATCTCTATGGACAGGCCTGACAAAAACAGTTTCAAATGTACATTTATTTATTAATTGCTCTGTTTTACGTTTTATTTAACTGGTGCAGAGCCCGTTTTAAACATTTGAAACGGGCTGATCTCTTGGTCTGTGGTGCTGCTGGTTGCTGGTTGCTGCTGCTCACCCGTTTATTCAAAGTTCAGTGAAGCTCGACCCAGTACACAGAAGAACTGGAGAATCTGTTGTTGTCAGGAACAAGTTGTTCTAGAGATTGACAACTTACAGTGATGAGTCCCAGCTACCACTAATACAGAACTCTGGTCGCCTGTTTATTTAAAGTTGATCAATATCGAACATGTCCAAATTGTACCAAATTTGACGCTGCACTTCCTTGGGCCCTGAACAACACACATGACAAGTGAGAAGCCGATTAGATAAACAGTTCTTGAGATATGCGAGCCACATACAGACAGATTTTCAGAATTGTCGCCATTTACTTTAATTGGATTAGATTTGGCTGCAACGCTGTTTACCGCTGAAATTCCGAAAGTGTTTTGTGAACTCAAACACTTCATCCACCCCTCCATCGGCATAGTGATGAGTAGATAATGAGTGAATTTTCATTTTTGGGTGAAATATCCCATTAATGTTTTTGCTGTATAAGTGAGAAAATACCAGATCCAGAGCAGTAAGTCTGACTGTAGTGATGCAGTCATCCTGCTCAACAGAACATTCAACCGAATGACAGCCTGCACCCACACCTCTACACTCCCCCCTCCCCTTCCATCTTGAGACGCAGACTCATCCCCTCACACCAGCTCTTGGCAAATGGACTTATGCTCAGCTTAGCATCACTCACTTCCTCTCATCTTAATTAGACTTGGCTCCTGCCCAGGCGAACGCAGCGGAGCTTTAGCGGCTTCAGATGATCCATCCACTTTGCGAGCAGTAATCTAATGGGCCCTCATGCTGTCCACTAGCTCGGTTTCTCATCCCCAGGCTCAGTCCTGCTCAGTGTGAGTCTCTCAGTCTGGATTTGTTTCACCGATGGGTGGCACGCTGGACAAACGGCGAAATCAGATCTCCTTTTATGCTGTAGTAGTCTTGTAAGTACAGGCAGCAGGTGCAGCTGAATGTCTTGGAGGCATGTGTGTACGTATTTGTGTGTTTGTGTGTCCGTTTGCTTATGCCCACAAAGATTGTCGAGGGAGGGTTAAGAAGAGTTCACCTCTAATCTTATTAGTCAAATGGGATCAGGCCGTCTGAGAGATGCCAGCATGCTCTCATAAAAAACAACTCTGTTATGGTGTTGACGCATACCTCACGCAACCAACACACCATGTTATGATGTAGTATTAGTCCGGTGTGTTCATTCATAGTCTCCTATCGCTGTGATACCTAAAACAGGAAGCAGACATTGATTCTGTTTCTTTCCTTTTTGACACTGTATGAACCATAGGGTTTTTTTAACTGAGAACTTGGGCAGGTCAAAACATTCACTGCCTCTTATGGTCGTTGTCATTGTACCTTAAATGCTCTTGCTTTTCATTTTGGAATTTCTGCACAAAGTGTTTCTATTATCATATCGAGTTGATAAGCGAGGACCATGTACTTTGGATTTAATGTCATTCAATAGGATTTAGCCGATGAATAAAACATATTTACTTCACCATGATATATTTTACTCAATCACACAATAAAATATTTGGACCCAGATTTCATCAGGATTTGTTGTTTTAATTGTTCGGAGAGCACCAGGTGACATTTTTGTCTTTGAACGCACCTTGTATGGTAGACTACTCTGTGTTTCTCTGAAGTCTTGGACTCTTTTTGAAAGCTTGGAGTCTTGGAAGCTGTTTTCTTTGAGTACTGGCTCTCTTCTGTCTGTAGATCTATTTGCTGCTAGAATTTTCTTGTAAAAACCAAAGAAACCCATCTTAACCATCTCAGACTTTTAAATTAAGGTCGAGAGCTGCACGTAGCTCCGTTCATATGGACATTAAAAAATGTGAGATTCAAGTTACATCACTGATCTTACACTCTGCTCATTCAGTTATGATTTCAAAATAAGTAAAATGTTTTTTTCATTGTCTCTTTTTGCTTTGTGGTCCATTGTGGGTTGTTCACTTCTACTGATTATGATGTTGCAGTTTACAACTTTTTTCTGTCTTCAGATTCATAGGTGGTGGTAAAAAAAAGAAAACAATGATTTTTGCTCAAATTTGACTTGGAGTAATTTTTACATCATAGGGCGTTTGTAGAGGTTTTGAAAATCATTCCTCCAGATGTCACCATGCTGGACAAGTGATTACTGTGGTTTTATGGCCCTTTAGCTATTTTACATTTTCCAAAACTGGAATTGTTTTAATGGTCTTTGTGCATTCTCTTTGTTCTTATATAGCATTTTTTTTTTATGTAAACACTATATATGTAATAGACCTGTTAATCATTTAATACATTTGATATACATACATTTTAATTCATTGAAATCTTGATCACAAAATGTGTGACTCTTTATTTGATTCTGTTACATTCAGATTTACACCATCACAAATTCTGTCACCTCATCTAACTTTTCTCCCTCCTCCCTGCAGCCATCCGTTTTGGTCGGATGCCTCAGTCGGAGAAGCTAAAGCTGAAGGCGGAGATGGTGACGGGGGACAGAGAGGTGGGAGACCCTCAGGTCGCTGACCAGAAGACGCTGGCCAGGCAGATTTACGAGGCCTACCTCAAGAACTTCAACATGAACAAGGCTAAGGCTCGAACCATTCTCACCGGAAAGACCAGCACCCCTGTATGTTGATTGGGAGTAGAGGGTTGTGTGTGTTTGTAGATTGCATGTTCATGGCTCTACTCAATACCAGAGTTTCCTCAGAGCTCAGTGCATTTCTTTCCCACTGGAGTGATTCTGATGTCCTTCTGTGCAAATAGAAAATTTGCAATCAACCTCATGTCTCAATTCGACCTGCAACATCAGGGAATATTTGCAGCCAATGACAGAAATAACTTGCTCAATCTTTAGTGGGAGCCAAAACACTGTTTGGACAAGGACACGTCTGTTTGCAGTGAAACAATATAAAGAGCCAGTGTTTCTGAGCCCATCACTCTGCCCTCCACCTCCTGTTCCCCTCCATTCCTCTGCTTTTCATCACTGATTCCCAATCTCACAGAAAAACGTCCCCTTGCAACCTAGTTTCTTTTACTTTCTTTTCATCGTAGCAGAGGGGTTACTGGGGGGGTAAGGGAATGCAGTTCAGTTGTTGTGAATTCCAAGGAATAGATGTGTGTAGGTGTGAAATAGTTCAAGAGGGACAGTCCAAGTGCACATCCATGTTTAAACAGAGACCCTCCCCGCTGCTTCTGGAGATCAAAGCTTTCAGATGGAGACTCTGTGTTCTGCAGACGTTGGGAAGCAGTCAGTTGGAAATGCACATATTGTCTGATCTTTAAGCTCATTCATGGTGTCACAGCCCTTTTATACAACAAAGGAACTTCCCATGAAACCATATTGTATTTGCAAGAACTCTACGCACAAAAGCAAACATGTTACCATGATTCAGTACCATGATTCATTTTAGGATATGTGTTTTAGCAAGCTTCAGATTAATTACTGTTTATGAAATACAAATGGTTGATCACCCTTTGGTCTGTGATTAACGTCTTCAGGTATCATTCTTGCAACTGAGGCAGAAAGTTTCCATCAGAGACTGATGAACACTGACAGTTTTTTTTTTTTTTACTGTCCGACTTAACTGGATTTTCATTGGTGCGATTACAACAGAACATACAGTCTAGACAAGCTGCCACAGAAAGTCAAGCCCTCACAACAAGTGTGTATGCGATTTCAGAATTTATAATGATCCCAAGACTGACTAACAATCAACTTTGATTACTTATATCATTTATTTTCATTATTTATATCACCATCTTGGGTGTATTACCATGATATTGTACAGAGGATGAAGCCTGCTTTAGTGATGTCTTATCATCACGTCAACACTTTTGAGTATCTAATACTGCTCAAGTGAAAGCTTCTTTGTACCAAAGTGCAGCCCCAGAGAGTTGCTACCATAGCTGTAGACTTGTCTCTTGCTATTTTGTGGCCACTTGTATCTTTCTTGTGTGTCAAAGTCTTGTGGAGACAATGCAGAGTTTCCATTGTACTGTGTCTGGAGCCAACATGACAATGTGATATGGCTAAATTGATCAGATCTTGCAGCAGATTATCATTTAAAAATAGAAGAAAAATCTTTGTCGCTCTGCTTTCAGTATGAATCGTAATAAAATTTCTAGAAAAATATATTGGGCCTACAAATGGCCTCAATAAGTGTCAAAAATAAATAAGGCTTGTGCCTGAAATCACTCACTGATCACTACATAACCCACTACTTAATGCCTTCGTCATTTTGTAGAGGTGTCTAAATGTTTCGTCCATTCTTTAAACCCTAAATAGTGCACTCATTGATTCCCACAATGCATCATGAAATCAGTGTACAACTGATAGTTGCTAACTCAGCAATATATACCATCAAGCATTGCGCCCGCTGAGGAGAGACGAGCGGATAGAGGGCATATCTATGAGAGAATCTGTGTGAAGTGAGCATGTGCACAAAACAACAAAGCATTCTGAAACTGAGATTAATACTTCATGAAATGAACTTTGGAACATTTTTTGGTTTGGTTTTGTTGTGTTGTTGCTTTGCAATATGTGCTGCAGCAGGTGTAGCTGCTGTGGGAACAGTGACACAGCTAAATGCACATTTTATCAAGAATCCACTTACATAGCTGCTTACATTAGTACCTGTCTTTGTAACAGCATAATTATGGTACTCTACTTATCTTCTTTTATTTTGAAAGAATAATTTGTCAGTGGGTTTAGTCTTAGAATTAACTGTCTTCTTACTTTCAACCTCACCTGTGCTTATATTTCTCAAGAGTCTGTTTGCACCTGAAAGTGAAGAGTGACATTCATAAGAGTATAGCTGCAGGGTCAGGGAGAGTATTTATATCGTCTTGGAACTATTCAATTGTCAGTAAGGGCTCTGGGTTCAGCCTCTGCTCTCAGTTAAGTATAAACACCGCAGTCACTCAAGGTTTCAGAGGTTTGCTGATTCAGCCTTTTCCATATTTATGTAGTCAAGTCAGGTCAGGTCTGTTTTCTGCATGTAGGCTAACACCACAGAGCAGTTCAGTTAGAAACATATTTTCATGCATGCTTTACAAAATGCAGCTCTGAAGAGTGTTTCTTTCTCTGCTGTCTGCAGCCTTTCGTCATCCATGACATGGAGACCCTCCAGCTGGCAGAGCAGACGCTGGTGGCCAAGATGGTCTCCTCCGCGGGATCGCTTAGGGACAGGGAGGCAGAGGTTCGGATTTTCCACTGCTGCCAGTGCACGTCGGTGGAGACAGTCACGGAGCTCACAGAGTTTGCGAAGTCCGTCCCCGGGTTCTCAAGCCTGGACCTCAACGATCAGGTGACTCTTTTGAAATATGGAGTGTACGAGGCTCTCTTCGCCATGCTCGCCTCCAGCATGAACAAGGACGGCCTCCTTGTGGCGTACGGCTCAGGCTTCATCACGCGGGAATTCCTCAAGAGCCTGCGGCGACCTTTCAGCGACATGATGGAGCCAAAGTTCCAGTTTGCCATGAAGTTTAACTCGCTGGAGCTGGATGACAGTGACCTGGCTCTGTTTGTGGCTGCTATCATCTGCTGTGGAGGTGAGGAAACAGGAAAAGTGATGTATTTTATACTATACTATAAGTCTCATTTTGATAAATGGTGTAGTTAATCTTCTTTTTACTCTCCAAGCTTTTGTTTCCAACTTTTATAAATTGTAAAACTATCCTGGAACTTCTTTTTGTTGAGTATTTTTACTCTAATCACAAAATAATGCTTAAGGAATCTCACTTGACTTAATTTTTCCGTGTTTAGACCGACCGGGCCTGGTGAACGTGGAGCACATTGAGCGGATGCAGGAAAGCATTGTGCAGGTGCTGCAGCTCCACCTGCTGGCCAATCATCCAGATGACACTTTCCTTTTCCCCAAGCTGCTGCAGAAACTCGCTGACCTCCGGCAGCTCGTCACTGAGCACGCACAGCTAGTGCAGGAGATCAAAAAGACAGAGGACACATCGCTGCACCCGCTCCTGCAGGAGATCTACAGAGACATGTACTGAAGTTTGTGGAGGAATAATCCAGGAGAGGCACTTTGCAAACCATCTCCTTTTTTTCAGGGACAGAAGAAGTCCTCCATAAGCTAGGGTTGAACCACTTACACCTTCCTAATGCAGCAGGAGTTAGTTTTGGTCTGCACAAGAGCTCCTGTCAGGTCCAAGCAAGAAGCCCAGTCTTGATTCTCTTGGTTTGGCACAGTGCTCTCCACTCCCAGGCAGAACAGTTGTGATGTGCAGCTAATCGAGCCCCTGTCTAGACACCAGTGTATGCAACCTCTGACCAAAACACAAAACTAAAATCTTTAACGAGATCTCCGTGGTCATCCCCATCCTGCACCTTAACACAAAATGAGGACAGAAGGTGAACTTGATAGCAGCCGCTGGTAGTGTGCTTGACTGTAGATTTATATACTGATGTCAAAGAGCCATAAACCTTCACAGTGAACAGCACCCAAAAGACACCTGGGACAGCAGCAACATAGATGAGACAGTTTTCAGTCAAGGCAGCTTCCGACAGATTTACTACAGAGTATTATGGTCATATATAGAGACATAGAGATTTCAAGAGTAATGTCATGATAACACAAGAATACATTTGTGATTGAGAAAAAAGTCTTAGTATTAGGAGATTAACGAAATCATGTTTTGGGGGAAATAAGCAGCAAAGAGAACCCGCCCTCGTTGTAGTTCCACAGATGTAAGAAACGGTAACCTCACTCAACCACTACCAACTTCCTCCAAGTCTGTCTGGTTCTTTCTTCATTATAAAAACAGTGACTTGCACAATACCAAGTCCTGATACTTATGATAATGTGGTGCTGATGAGCCAAAATAATTTATTATTATAATTATTGTTTATAAAAACCTTTACTAAAGTGTAACATTCTAGTGCAGGTTAATCTTCTGATATTCCCCCTTTTAACATGACACATAGCCTAAAATTTTGACTTTATTATCATAACATTATGACTTTATTCCTGTATAATTACTACTTTACTCTTGTAAACTTAAATTATGACTTTTTTATTCTCTTAATATAATGACTTTATCTTGTAAAATTACAACTCTTTTTCTCATGAATTTAGTTTTTTTGTCACAGCATTATGACTTTATTCTTATAAAAATGTGACTTTTTTCTCTCAATATTACAACTTTTCCTTGTAATATTATGACTTTATTTCTGAAATCTCAGATTTCATATGTCCTTTAAGTGGCCCTAATAATGTGTCGAACTAATTCGCTTCTGGTGAAGGGTGGTTATCCAATCAGAGGCCCTCCAGCAAGTTTTTATAGCCAGAGACACAACTTAAAATCAACATGTATTTGTACTTTAAGTCCTCAAAGCCATACTTTGTTTATAACGATGGTGGAAAAGATCATCGTTCTTCATATTGTTTTCTCTTTGTGACAACACAGCCTCAAGACTCAGTATGGATTTGTGTTTGGCAAAACACAAGCAAAGACGTTTGGCACTCCATCCTGTTCTGTGTCCTGGTATTCAAGGGCTAACACCGAGATAAACCGCATAACAACCTTAATACAGGCAGACTTAGGACGGATTTGCAGAGAATGAATTCATCTGTTTCTTAATTTCTCATTTGTTAAAGTCCTGTTCCACAAAATTACATCTCATTATTATTTCTTTCTCACTCCTCTTTCTACTTCTGTGTTTGACTGGCGGTGTTTGGTCCTCATAATATGCCGTTGGGGTCTTTTTACCTGATGGCAAATGAAAAGCGTTATTCTTTTCTCCTTAGAAGAGAAGAATGATGGTATTGGAAGTTTTCATCATCAGAAAAGAGGCATTTTGGGTGAAAAATGTTCTGTGTTGGTCATTTGTGGCAAACATTCAAACCAAAAGACAAACATATGGCCATCTGCTCTTATTCGACTTAGAGAATAAGATGAAGCCAGTCAGACAACATGGGTTATTTTTCAGAATAAGACAAGTACACAAAAGGTACTGTAAAGATGGATGAAGACCAAATACATTTCCATATGGTATCATTTAGATGTTTTTTGTGTCCTCCATCTGTTCTGATGAACTGTGCATGTGAAAAGGCCACTCCTCTATGTTGTCATGTTGCATTTTGTAAAAAGAACAAGTGAATAAGTTGAAAATGCTCTGGAGAAGACTTTCACTAAAGGAATGTTGATGGTGGAAACATGCATGTGTAATAGTTTGGATAATACAGAGTATATGTGGGTCTGTGAGCGAATGCTTTCCCCTCCTCCTCATCTGCTTCTTATCCAACCAAAATCTCCTTAAATCACCATGAATTGATTTGAAATTCAGTCGCGAGAACCGGACCTTGTGTTAGTTGCAGTGAACTGTAGATAGCTGAAACGATCACGCCGACCCCTCGTCCCTAGCTTTTTAACCCTTGAGGTATACAAGGTACTAATGATGATCAAATTTTGTATCCCTCAGTTTGGTATAAATACTTTTAAATGTTTTTTAAAAATTTACAGTAAATGTAGTCACGTACTGTATTGTTTATTTGCTAAAATGCCACATTAATTGTTTTCCATGATTGAATTGGATCATATTTTTATACTAAAGTATATATGTACTGTATATGTCTAAATCAGATTATTGTTTATTTGAGACAGCACGGTTTTAAGCGTGCGGGGTAAATAGATTTGAGGGTGATAGGGCAACTGGTAATCTGAATACCCACAGATCTGAATCCCATCGGGGGGACATTCCTTTTAGTTAATCGGTGATTTCTAGAAAAAGAAACATCAAGCTGCACTTCATTTATCTATTCAATTAAGCGCTTATGATGGAAAGTGAAAGCACACCAGGCTGTGCAGGGCCACATGAGCTCACGACTGATTAAACCTTGACCTCTGAATAAGACATTTATATTTTGAAAAGTCAAGATACGACTCCGCACTGATCACACAATACTAATCTCCTCCTTTTATACTCAGGTTGCATTAAAATACAAATGGGGTGAATGATATATGCACAGAATTTCATTGTTGTTATCAGAAATTCTCCATAGTTGCCTCTTCATATCGAACAAACCTGTATTTTCACGCGTCTCTGTTGGTCAAACAGAGTAAGTGAAGGCACTCACAGTTTGCCATCACATGTTATTTCAGTGGCGACGATGCAGTAATGAAAATGCAGTATATTGTTGTTTTATAATTCTCCTTTTGCCACACGTTTTTTTCTGACTCTTCTCCCATCACTCGCTGCTATAACGTATGAACTCGCGTTAACATTTCTTAAGCCATGAGTAGATTAAAGACACTTCAAAGTCCGTCTTACTTTAAATATATATATTTTCTCAGAATGTCAGTCCCACGTGCAGATTTCATTGAATGCAGCTTGGTTTATATTTCCCCTCGCACACTCCAGCGAATTTTGGAAATGTACTTGGGGATTAACCACAAACAACCTGTGCCTTAGCATGTGTGCCCATGCCATACACCACTAGAGATTCAGAAAACAAACAAAAGACTTGACTCATGCACACACACACTTTTAGAAAAACTGCTTGTAAACTGTTGAGATTCAGCGATACAGTACGGGGGGGCACACATACAGGAAATTATGTCAAGGCAGATTTTAAGAAAATGGTGAAATCGAAGCTCAAAAGTGCAACTAAAGCTTTGTTTGACAGTAACAATGAAGGATTTGCTTTAAAGAATGGTCAGACTAACTGAGGTAATAGTTTTGAACCCATAGAGGTTGAAACACTAGAGCCAGGCCCTTGAGGAGAGGTCATGTAAATGTGTGATGTCTTCTTACCCTTAGGAATGTCTGTTTTGTGTTGAAATGACAAGGGACGTTTTTTTTTTTACTTGTATCAGGGAAACCTAGTCTTCCTTTGTTGAACTAGCTCAGGACATAGAAAAGGTACTGTTCTTCCCTCTCTAGCTCTCTCACTTATTCTCTCCAGGATGAGTTTCTAGTGCTCTGCCTTACAGCACAAACACCCACAATAGTGATTCACTTGACTTTATTTTTATTTCTCCAAAACTGACCGAAAATAATAATAATACATGTGTTACCAGAGGGGCAGCAGCCATAAGAATTAGATATTTGATTGGATTTTTTTCATTAGATTTTTCCTGAATTTCATGAAGTTTGTTTTTGTGGCTATAGTGTCATGCAAAGAGAAACAAGGACTGTCTATGGATGTGTTGTTAATGTGTACTGTGGCTTGGTAACAATACTGTAAATGTTTGATGAATGTATATCTAGTCATTTAAACAATGAAACAAGTTGACATTGAACGAGTGTCAAAATAAAATGATTTTGAAATTCACTACGTTTGTTTTAATTTAGATAGACAATGCTGGAGTTAATTATGGACCATTGAAGCTTGGTTTCTGTAGTTGATTCAAAGAATGTGTCTTTGTTTGACTAAAATGTCCACAGACCAAAATACATAGAGACTAATGATAAAATCCGTCCTCTCAACTGGACCTGATGCAAGTTCATCATGTATTGGTCTGTGGTCAATCCTGCAGAAAGAGTATATTTACTTCGTATATTTAAATGGTGCATTTTGACTCAGTGTACTGATTAGAGTCTGACCTATTTTTTGGGGGGGTGATGCTGATACTAATATTGAGTAGTACACATTTTCAGATATAGTATTGGCCGATATGATTCCTGAGATATCTTTATTAAAGCCTTTTTATTTACAATTAACCATAAACTTTATTATAAATCACTATAAATAAACAGAAAGCATATAAAAACAAATATATAGAACTTGAATTGAGAAAATACAAATTTTAATGTAAAATATAAATATAAATTCACATATTTTCCTCATTGTCTATTCTGTATCGTTATAGATTTTGTATATATAAAATACATAGTTATCTTTTTTTTCTACTTTTCATGCTTTTCCTCTATGTATATACTTAGCTGTTTTGGTTTAATAGTAAGCTGTATTTTTTTATGACTTTCAAATGATTCAATTATATTATATATTATATTATTATCAATGATAATAGTTATTATTATTATTATTATTATACTTGCGTCTGCCTTTTTCATTGAGTTTGGGAGCACCAGCCTTCTTCTTTCAGCACCACAGCACTAGAGGGCGCTCTCCTCCCAACAAACCGCCCATGCTTCCTCTGTCTGCTCGTCACATTGTCCAACATGGCTGCGCCCTTGGTGGGAACCTGCCGCTCTCTACCGCGGCATGCCTCCTGTGTCCTGCTCAGGAGAACGGGTGCGTGGCTCAGCCTCAGGTCTAAACTTCACCGCTCCTCCCCTGCCCACAGCGGGCTGCTCTTCTCCCTCAACAGACGCGGTGTTCTGAAGGACTCTTTCCCGGAAAACGCCGCTCAGGACCAGCTGCCGCGGCTGCTCCAGTCCGGTGCTCAGACTGTGTACTGCGGCTTTGACCCCACGGCCGACAGCCTCCATGTGGGCAACCTGCTCGCCATCATCGGCCTGCTGCACTTCCGCAGCGCCGGGCACCACGTCCTCGCGGTGCTCGGAGGGGCCACGGCTCAAATCGGGGACCCGAGCGGGAAGACGAGCGAGAGGGAGCCTCTGTCCGCGGACGTCGTGGAGGCGAACACCCGAAGCATCCGGGAGAGCATCCAGAGGATATTCTCCAACCACGAAGTGCACTTCCACGATGCCTCCAGGAAACCGGGCACGGTGACCGTACTGAACAACCTGAGCTGGTACAAGGACTGGGGCGTTGTTCCCTTCCTGTCCGAGGCCGGCAGGCACTTCAGGATGGGCACCATGCTGAGCCGCCACAGCGTCCAGTCCAGGCTGAAGAGCGCAGACGGCATGAGCCTGACGGAGTTCACCTACCAGGTGTTCCAGGCCTATGACTTCCACCACCTCAACCAGGTGTACGGCTGCAGGATCCAGCTCGGAGGCACCGACCAGCTGGGCAACCTGATGTCTGGCCATGAGTACATCCACAAGTAAATACTTTAAGGAAGTGTCTCTGAGGATTGGTGTCAGACCTCACTGAGATCTCTATTCATTTATTTACATTGAATGTCTCTGCTTCAACTTCATCCACTAAGGATCAATGTGTTTTACCGGGGGAGTTGCTGTTTGTACACAACAGGCCTATAACCTCTAACAACAACACCAGTTATGTATGGTTGTAGAATTCCGCTCGGATACCATCCAGCCTGCTAGATTGTTATTCACAAGAATAACATCTTACTTAAATGCAACTCACATATTCTCTACATGGAGAGATTCCTGTAAACCAGACTCCATTAAAGATTATGATCATTTACTATTTTAACGATCCAGGTAAATGCACTCACCAGAAATGTCACTCATATGTCTTCCAATTCTGCCTTCTTCTAATCCCCCAAGTGATAATTCATTTTAGTAAAATATGGAAACTTTGGTGCACAATGTATGTTAACACTGTGCTGTAGCTACCAACAAGACACTTGAGGATGTTTATTTTGTTATTTTTTCTATTTGAAAGTTTAACAAAATATGGTGAACGTATTCAGTATTCTCTATGAAATAATAGTGTTGTTCCAAATGGTGAGGTGTTCTGTTATTATGCACATCAGAGAAAACATATGTAAAATAAGTTCAACTTTGTAAAACAATAATGAAACATAATCATATCATCTCTATTTGATTCCATTTGAAGTTGATTTATTACTCTGTTATGATGACACATGCAAACAAGCCACAAGCAGTCCAACGCTTTTGTTTTAGCTATCTGCTAGTTTTGCAGAACATCAAACTAGACTTGTAACACTTGAACTTGTGATATCTCTCCAGAGTGAGTGGAGAGGAGGTGTACGGACTGACCACCCCCCTTGTGACCAGCTCTGTCGGGGACAAGCTGGGGAAGACGGCGGGAAACGCAGTGTGGCTCAACAGAGACAAGACGACACCGTTTGAACTGTATCAGTTCTTTCTGCGACAGCCTGACAACGCTGTGGAAGGGTATGTGGAGATAAAGGCACATATGTGTTCGCTGTGAAAGCATCGCATAGATGGGTGCTTGGGGGGTTGATGATGCTTCTTACATGTGACAGACACAACAATTTAAAAAAAAAAAAAAAAGGAAACAAATGTCTCCTTTTGAAAAGGCTTTGACACACACGTAGTAGACACCAATAGTCTGTGTGTTGTCAATAAAATAACGTGATCTACGCAGCAGAATTAAAACATCACTTCCCTCCTCCGGCTGCATTGTGCTTGTGTGGAAAAAAACTAAATAAACACACTGTTTATTGTGTTGTCAATTTATATTTTATCACATCAATCTCCCCTTGCAAAATCGATTCATACATTTTTTTTCGGGCCACTCAAAGAGACATTGACTTGTCTCAAAGCCCCAGTTGTCTTTGGTGTGCCTCAGGTCATTGTTGAGTGAAAGATGAAACATCACCCCAGTCTTATACCATGTGTGCTCTGGAGCAGATTGTCTTTTAGAACCTCCCTGTGTTTGCCTTCATTCATCCCTCCTTCATAGCCTGATGCTGCCACCACCATACTTAATGAGCAGTGTCTGGTGTTTGCCAGATTTTTGGAGCTCAATTTATGTCTCATCAGACCCAGAAATCTTTTCCCTCATGTTCTCAGACTTATTTAAATGCAGCTTAGCAAACTCCCAGGTTTTACCAAAATCATCTCCCTTCTCCCCATTCTACTGTAAGACCTGATGGATGCAAGGCTGCAGAGAGAATCATCTTTTCTGGCAGGTTCCCAATCTCTGCAGAGAACTTGTGTTAGCTTCTTACTCAGTTTGGTCTGATGGCCAACTCCATTAAGAATCTGTCTTCTTCCATTTCACTTTATGGACAGAAACAGCCTTCGAAATGGTTTAATTCTCTTCCTCATAATGTAATGGGCTTACTGTAATTAGGCTTTATGGCTTGGTTTTTGTTCCGACATAGTGACTCACTTTGTAAGTGTGAATAGTGAGACCTTGTGTGTGAGCATATTTCATCTATAACCAGTCAATTTACTTTGCCACAGTTAGACTTAGGTCAAGCTCTAGGCACATTTTAAGGATATTCAAAGCAAACATGATGCATCTAACCACAATTGGGGTTGTTGCAGACGGCGGCCTGAAGACTTTTGTAAATACATATTTCCATTTTCGTCTTTTAATAAACTTTAAAACATTTCTACTAACACATTTTCACTTTGTCATTATAGATTATTGCTTCTGGGCTAAAAATAGGAATTATCTTCATTTGAAAATACATTTGCAAAGAGTTAAGAGGTCTGAATACTTTCTGGAGCTGCTGATATTGTCAGCTCTGTACCGGAGGCTCAGGTGTATTGTGTATTGTCTTTTTTCAGGTATCTGAAGCTGTTCACCTTCCTGCCTCTAGCCGAGGTAGAGAGGCTGATGGAGCAGCAGAGGGAGGATCCAGGTAAACGGCTCGCACATAAGCGACTGGCTGCAGAGGTGACCAAACTGGTGCACGGAAAGGAGGGCCTCGAAAGTGCTAAGAGGTCAGATCAGGCCCTGTGTGTTTGAGTGTTTGTTTGTGTGGTTTTTAATGCCGATTTATTCAGGATTTTACATTTCTTATTTGATAGACCATTCTTAAAAGTAGCAGGAATTCAGATAGCTGGAAAATTTAGACTGCCAAATCCGTAAGCAGTGACCTCTGAAGTCATATTTAATATTATCATTGCAGATGCACCATGGCCCTTTACCACAGCAGCGTTCAGGCCTTGGAACAAATGAGTGACGAGGAGCTTCAGGAGCTTTTCAGGGAGGCTCCCTTCCACGAGCTGCTGTTGGAGCCGGGGACCACTGTGATAGACGCCTGCCGCAGAGTCAACGCAATCCCAGAGGGACCCAGAGGGTAAAAACCCCAATACTGCTGTCCTTACATACAATGAATTTTAACACATTAACCTGTAAATTATGAATTTTAAATTAGTCAGTCCACTCAGATCACACAAAAATGTCTTGCAAACTTCTTTTATTATGTGGCTACACATTGTTTTTGTAGCGACTGTTATTTCAAATTCAATCATTCAGTTCCAAAGAAAAACTGTGGGCAGTACATTCTGTGGATTAATTGGCCACTATATCTGGAGACAAATGTTTCTGTTGAATTTGTAAATTGCGTCGCTCATCACTTTGTGAACCACAAATACAATTCAGTTCAGCTCTATTGTATTTGAATGTGGCAGCAACTGGGAAAATGAAAATATGACGGTGATACTGAGCATCATTATAAAATGCCAAAAAAGTAATTTTCATTGCATTAGCCCATAATGACTT